TGGTCTACATGCGGATTCATTTTTACCAAAACTATAAGAAATCCAAATTTGTACTAAAATTGAATTTCTACATTTTGATTTAGTTGGATTTCAATTTTCTAGTATTTTTTATTGAATCCAAATAGGGGGTACTTCCTTATTTACATTGTAAACTTAAAGTAAAGACATTTACTTAAATGTTTTCCATGGAAATAAGGTATGTGCAGATGTCCTATGCATAGACTGTTTCATCTGTTAACCTAGAACATTTTCTGAAGCATCAGTTCTATTTCGGTCTACCGAAATACAAGACCAACTCACTTCGGTTTACCGAAACAGAGATACTGAGGATGATGCATCAGTTCTATTTCGGTCTACCGAAATACAAGACCAACTCACTTCGGTTTACCGAAATAGAGATACTGAGAGGATGATATCCAACCTTAAAACCATTTCGGACGACCGAAACACAAGGGTGTTTCATTTCGGTCGACCGAACTTGTATAGATTTGAATCTGAACGGCTATTTCCTCTCGGGTAGTGTGCACAACAACTCTATTTTTAAATTTGATGTTGAAACTCTATAAATAGAGTGAGGGGACTTCGGGATTAAGGGTTGCTATCATTGAGAAACATTATATAGTATCTAAAGAGCTTTTGTTCTTCATTCATATCATACTCTCTCATCCCATATCATTCATAGAGTATTGAGCTTCAATCTATTCAAATATATACTCTAGAGTGAGCTGAAAGTTGTGAGCTTTGATTTGCATATCAATCTTTGAGAGATATTTGTATGCAACAAATTTGATCTTCAATTTGTAAGGGCTGGTGTGGCCCAAGGAAGAAGAAGTTAGTTGGCTTCAAATTTGTAAGGATTGGTGTGACCCAAAGGAAGACTAAGAGATGTTGTCTCTTAGCAAAGTGAAATAAGGTGTTGCTTCATGTAAATGTTTGCTCTCCACCCGTAAGGAGGTGCAATAGTGGATTGGGAAGTCTCAAGAGGGGTCTTGAGCCGAGGAGTAGGAGTTTCCGAACCTCGCTAAAATTGCCGTGTGAATGTTTGCAATGTCTCTTCCCTTATCTCCTTTACATTTATGCTATTAATTGCTTATGTCCATATCTTGATTATTGCATAATTGTTAGAGGGTGTTAAGTAGAATTTGCAAATCCAAAAATTGGCCATTGTTTGCCATAAACTCTATTCACCCCCCCTCTAGAGTCAATACTTGGGTAATATTTTGATATTGTGCAAAATTACCCTTCTATTAGAAATCTGATATAAATTAATATTGTAATACCCATTTTGTGCTTTTACTCTTCCCAAAATTCCCATGCAATCATCCTTTTCACTGTAATCATCCTCTGCTGTCTGTGCTCGCTATATCCATCCGCTTCACGCCAGAAATTTTAGTGTTCATCGCTGAAATTTATTTGATTCTTACTTTAACAAACCCATCAAACTTGACTTCTTTCCCGTAGAGGTACTATGGGAAACAAGGTATCAATGTCAGAGGGTAATACTCCCATCTCTAAAAAAAAAAAACAAAAAGAAGCGTATCAATAAAAATGAGTAACAAAGGACTAAGATTCAATAAAAGATTAAAAGTGAGCGAGCAAACAAGCTTCTCCAGAAACAATCAGATTATTGATTAGATTTTTTATTTCGTCTTTGTTTGTGTAAGAAGGATGTTACACCAAAGCTTTTTCATGTGTATTGTACCCCTCCTCTTTCGGACCATTCTTTCACTTCCGCAAGTACACTCGGCCTGTCCCAATGATGGAACCACTAACATCGCCAAGAAGAAGAAATCGGAAGAAGAGAGAGAGAAAGCTGTAGAGACAAAGATCAAACAGGTAGTGGTCTCACCTGTTACACCCATTGGCCGTAGCCACTATTACCAAGCGACTACTCGCCGAGTGACGCCCACCATCGATCTCAACCACATCTGACGCCAAGACCGCCGATGAGAAACTCTTTCTAAACGAGGATCTTTACACAAGAAGTTTTCTCGGGAAACATGCCTCATGGATCGGGGAAGTATCTATGGACTGATGGGTGTATGTACGAGGGGGAGTGGAAGAGAGGGAAGGCCTCCAGGAAAGGGAAGTTCTCGTGGTCATCGGGGGCGACGTACGAGGGCGAGTTCAAGTTGGGTTGGATGGAGGGGTTCGGGACCTTCATCGGCTCCGACGGGGACACCTACTGTGGGCATTGGTTAGTGGATCGGAAGCACGGGTACAACCAGAAGTGGTACACCAATGGCGGCTACTATGACGGCTCGTGGTGGCGAAACCTCTAGGACGGCCAAGGCCGGTCCGTGTGGAAGAACGAGAATGAGTATGTGGCTGAGCGGCGGAATGGGGTGATCAATGGCAAAGAATTGTTGATTTGGCTTAATGGAAATCGATACGATGGGAAAACAGTGTCCTTTTTGGTCTTTTTACCAAAAAAAAAATTATTTTTATATATTTTATAAAATTATTCAATAAGGGTAATTTGGTCAATTTAGATTTTAAAAGTGTAAGGGAGACCTAATTGTGCCAAATTAAAACTTAAGGAGTGTTTTTTTTTGCACGTGAGGAGTGTGATATGCACAATAAGCATATTTCAGGGATGTTTTTTGCACTTGACTCTATTTATTAGACTGAGTAAATTTACCTTTAAAATAGATAAAATATCACAAAGGAGTACTTAAAATTTCGTTATTTGATTTTAAATTTTATCAAATAGCACTTAGTCTATCATAATGTTGCTCTCAATGTGAACTCTCTCCTTAATGTGATGTGCCCAGCAAACGTGAATGGCCGGACCAATCAAAAGGAAATTTCCAGATTTTTTTTGTTGATCTTGTCTTATCTACGAGCATTCGTAGTTAATTTTTAGATGAAGTTAGTCAATACACCCCACGACGGCTAGCTTGGAATGGTCTTGGAGGCATCCTATTTGCTTTTCTTTTCTTAATTGTGCATGTGTTTATTAATAATAATTGCCAACTTGATATTTTTTCCAACTTGATATTTTTTCTGTCTGTGACAATGACAATATTTTACTGTTTATTGTTTAATTTCTGGATCACTAAATTTTTATCTTATGGATGAATTTTGTAGTAAAATTAGCTCTGATGAAAAATAATTAAGGGTGCAAATTTGGGTGGGTCAATCTGAACTAAATCTAACTTAAATCCAGTTTAATTGTCATGAGCTTGAGCTTAATCTGAACCTAAATTTTAATAGTATTTTTATACATATTTTTTATTTTAAATATGTAATATATAAAATTTAAATTATGATAAATGGTAAAAATATATTGAACGGTTTTCCTAAGAATTTGTATATACGGTAATTTATTAGAAATTTGGATTAAGTTTTTAATTTTTTTTAGGAGTAATTTGATCTGAAAATAAATAATAATTAATTTATAATTTTAATATGGAGATTGGTCCTTTGAATAATTAGATCACTTTTAATTCAAAATCTCAACCGAAGTTTAAAGATTGTTGGATGCACCTCCAACGTTGCAGCTCTACTGCTCTAAAAAATAAGTTTAAGGATGTATTAAAAATAAATATTAATTGCAAATAGTGCCTTAAAGGGTTTTTTTGGCTCAAAAAAGTTAAAAAAAATTGGAAAAAGTTTTTTTTTTAAATCTTAATTTTTAAAATATTTCTACTAACATCATATCATATGGAGAAAAGTGTCTTGTTTTGATTTTTATAATTCATAATAAATATTATATTGTTTTAATTTTTTATATGATATATCCGTGAAAAAAGTTAAAAAATAAAATTTATTAAAAATTTTAAAAATATTAAAATTTTTGGAGAGCGAAATGCACTATTGGAGTACATGCGATAACTAAAATTTGGAGACTTTAAAACGCTGACGTGACTATAAAAAATTCTGATGTGGATATTGAAAAATTCTGATGTGACAAATTCGAGAGTCTAACTTTAGAGAGTCTAACTTCAGAGAGTCCATTGAATATACTCTTAGAAGGCGATATTTTCTTTCATAAATACTACTAGCTCTAAGGCAATTTTTTTTCTCAAAAATCCTTGTTCTTAGTCAAACTTGTCATTCTTTATACTAAATTTATGAAAAGTATGCATTGAAAATTCAATGTGTTTTTTAATTCTTGTCCTTTAAAGAATATGCACTATTTGAATATTTGAAACTTTGATGATTATTTCTAAGCAATCACATCATACGTCTAAGGCATTTTTCTCAAAAATCTTTGTTCTTAGTGAAACTTGTCATTCTTTATACTAAATTTTTGAAAAGTTTGCATTGAGCCTTTAGAGAATATGTAATTGCCTTGGCTCACATGGACTCAGACCTGGAAATTCAGTAGCCCAAGCGTAGGCATTGGGCGCTATCAGTCAACCATGTCGACTTGGAATTAATGTCTACCAGGCCCCTCTTTGTTGCTTTACTTTTCTATTTTATGGACTGGAAAGAAAAAAAACAAAAATTGCAAACTTGATACTTTTTCCAAATGTGACAATGACAGTTTGGCTTTTTATTGGTTTAGTTTCTGGATCCACTCAAAAAGTTTAATTTATGGAATAGTTTTGATTAAAAATTATTTCCGATACAAAATAATACTCACTAATTAAAGATCTAATAAGTTCACAGACGGATTATATATGCCTCTAAAAAAAAAAAAAAATCACTAATTGTTTCTGTGCCTCCCCTCTGTCTCACATTCATTGTACTCGCTCCGATAATACTCACTAACTAATTAAAGACCTAATAAGTCTTCTTCTGCTGATTTGTTGTGTGACTTTTCTTTTTAATATTTTCTAACCTATTTGCTTATCTATATATACTCTCCAAAAACACCCATATAATATGACGTAAAAGTAGAGAATCTCCATACTAGCTGTTCGTCTGACGTCTGGTTTGATTGGTAGGAGTGGCTAAATGAAACTCCTCTTCCATTGTGAGACTTTTCTCTACTTTTTGTTTGTTTATTTTTTATTATTATTATTATTATTATTATTATTATTATTATTATTATTCTAATAGATTTGGAGATGCATGTATTGTCTAAAAACACCAATATAAGATAACAAGTACTTCTGAGAATCTCACAAAAACTAGAGAGGGTATTAAAAAAATGGTGATTGAGTTGTTGTTGGTATTAGGATTAGTGTGGTTAACGGGAGGAGCATCCTCAGCACCGCTAGCAAAGCCTGGTTGTCCACACACATGCGGAAATATTACCATTCCTTACCCATTTGGGATTGGAGTGGGTTGCTATGCCAACGACAGCTTTGCAATAACTTGCGATAACTCCTCCAATCCACCCAAACCTTTCTTCACTACCTACAACCACTTTGAGGTGCTTGATATTTACCTATTTGCGGGCTTTGTTTACATCCATCATCCGGTGCTCGCTTATGATTGTCCAAATGGGACTAATGTTCATCGACTTGCGAATTTGTCCAGTCCTTTTTGGTTTTCTGAAGACTATAATGTTTTCACGGCCACAGGTTGTAACAACCTGGCCTTAATGATGAGCCAAGATCAACAAATTATAGGTGGGTGCGCATCACTTTGCAACCACCGCGACAATTCAAATTCAACTGCTCGAGGAAGTTGCTATGGAATCAAATGCTGTCAGCCACCATCAGGCGGAGTTAGAAATTTGAGGTTAGGGCAGGATTTGTAATATATAATTAAAGTTTTTAAAATTATACATTAATTATAAAAATTCTTAAATTTTAACTTTTAAAAATATAATTAAAAGAGTCCAAGTTAAAAAATTACTAAATTTCAAGTGATACAAACTAAATTTGTTAATGTTATATATATTTATATATTTAGCATTAACAAAACTTTGTTTGCATGCAAAGCACAATTAGTGCTGAACGTGCAGGGTGACTTTGTGTCACAGCTGGAGAGAGAGAGAAGGGAAAAAAGTAGATCGAGCAGTTAATAGTATTACTTTTTAAGTTCTCATTTTGCGAAAATAAATTTGTCCTCATTTTGCGAAAATAAATTTCTTCGCTAGTGCGCGCACGGGCGCGCGCACGCACATATATATATATATATATAGATCTTAACTCTCATCTATGCACACATACATAAATTTTCAACTACTTTGATGTGTATTTGTGTCAACGAATTTGTGGGCTAACTATGTTTGTTTCATCTACAGCGGACAAGAAAAAAACTCGATTGATTATCATAGGTATGCCCCTTCTTTCACATAAACGCACACACCTTGATAGAGTCAAGGCAATTGTGGTACCAAGTTAATTTCAAACTCTTAATTTCCTAAATTTTGGAATTTTAGTTTGATAAAGTGACCTTTTCCAACTGAGTTTTGCAGGTATGAGTACGAGTTTTGGATTCCTACTCTACTTGTTGGCATATGGTGGTTGTATAAATTTGTGAAGAGGAGAAAGAAACTCATGCTCAAACGAAAATTCTTCAAATGAAATGGGGGTTTGTTATTGCAACAACAACTATCTTCGAGCGATCAAGGTAATGTTGAGAAAAATAAATTATTTACTTCAAAGGAGTTGGAGAAGGCCACTGACCGCTTTAATGACAACCGGATCCTTGGTCAAGGAGAGCAAAGTACTGTATATAAAGGAATGCTAATTGATGGTAGAATTGTAGCAGTTAAAAAGTCAAGATAGTAGATGAAGGCAACCTTGAACAATTTATTAATGAGGTTGTTATTTTATCACAAATTAACCATAGGAATGTGGTTAACTTGCATGGGTGTTGTTTGGAGTCAGAAGTTCCCTTGCTGGTTTATGAGTACATCCCCAATGGAACCCTTTACCAGTATATCCATGAGCAAAATGAAGAGTTTCCACTTACCTGGGATATTCGTGTTCGGATTGCTACAGAAGTTTCAGGGGCTCTTGCCTATCTTCATTCAGCAGCTTCCATACCCATTTATCACCGGGATATCAAATCCACAAACATTTTGTTAGACGAGAAATTCAGAGCAAAAGTGTCAGATTTTGGGACTTCAAAATCAATTGCCATTGATCAAACTCATATGACCACAATAGTGCAGGGGACCTTCGGATACTTGGACCCAGAGTACTTCCAATCAAGCCAATTTACAGAAAAAAGTGATGTTTATAGCTTTGGAGTAGTTCTTATTGAGCTGTTAACTGGACAACCACCAATCTCATCAACCAGATCAGAAGAACGAAGTTTGGCAACATATTTCATGTTGATAATGGAGGAGAACCGTTTATTTGACATTCTAGATGCTCGAATTTCCAAAGAGATTCGGAAAGAAGACATCATTCGGGTTGCTAATCTTGCAAAAAGATGCTTGAACTTGAGTGGGAGAAAAAGGCCTACAATGAAAGAAATTGCAATTGAATTGGAAAGGATTAGAATGCCACATGGAGTATCTACCATTCAACAAAATTCTGAAGAGGATGAATATGCAGTAATTGAACTCACAGGACCTTGGGATGTTGGTTCAACTTCGACAGGGTCTTATTTGCATAGGAGTGCATCATCATCACCGGATGCCCATCCTTTGTTATTTAAGTAATCGTGATTGTTAAGAATGTTTGTTCGCTAGTTTTTTTTTTCCCTTCATATTTTACATCTGTCTTGTTTGAATAAATAGTGTATCAATCATCACCCTTGTATTTCCTACTTATGTTGTTTAAGAAATCGTGATATGTTTGTTTATATAACAAAATTTGAATTTTATATAATACTTTGGTTGGTTTTGTTGCCTAACTTGCATGCTGAAGGCTAACATCATTCATTCCATGGAGCCATCTCTGTCATTAGAGCTTACTTTTATTACTAATCTATACGTTGTTGACATAAGAATAATTAAATCAATATATGTATGTGTGTTTGTTTGTGCTTGAGATTACACTTCCTTGAAATAAATTTTCATTAAGTACTATTAAGCTTTTAAGAAGATTTTTAGAGTTTCATGACAACTGAAATCGATACATGTGTGTGTGTATTCTATGTAATATAAAGATACAAGCTAGTTTGTAAGAGATAAATACATTATACGTTAGTTATATAGATATATGTGTGCATGTAGTGTGTAATATATTTGCAAAGACACATACTAGTTAGTATGATGAGATTATATCCAGTTTATCCTTCTAAATGATATGTATTAAGTCATTTATAATAAAACAAGGGTTGATGTGAGCATGCTTGATCTGTGGTGTGTCGTTTGCCGAAGTAACCAAATTGCAATGAAAGTATGGCCAAGTTTAAATTTATAAGTACCACTACTACCTCTAACTACTAATATACCTAGGGTGAGTAGGGATAGTCCCAAGGGATTGAGGGCTATGTTACTATGGAAACAAGGTCGGATTAGTAGGTCGAGTGATCAAAAGGAGTTTTGATTTGTTAATTGAACTACAATATAAATGAATTTAATACTAAGCAATTGAAATAAATAAAAGGGTAAAGAACAAGAGAGAGAGGTCTTGGGATCTAAAGATCACCATTCTAAACACTCAATGTGTAATGAATGAGGGGAAACATGTGTTGCAATACAAAGAGGTGTGATGGATTGAATCAACAAGCATGGATTGACTAATTAAGCATACATTGTCTAGACAACCTAATGAATAGCACAATATATCAAATTAAGTCATTATTCCTTCCTTTAAGCTCTCAATCAACACACTAGCAAGATAGAGGATTATACTACTTGCATTCATAAGTATGGAACATCAAACAACAACATGGATTGTCCTCACATATAAGAAAATAAGGCAACTACATTACATCTAAGCTAATGACATGAAAATTAAACTAATTAAACTAAGGTAGATGCACATTCCATCAAGGAATGAGTATGAACCATCAACCAAACCACAAGAGTATTCTATTTAAGCACTATGCCTTGACAATATCTAGATTCATAGCATCAATACACATAGACATGAACATCTATTCTAGCATACATAGACATATGGATAGAATGAAATGATCAATTAGAAGTATTAATCAGCACAAATCATTGTAAAAATAAGATTCATATATAGATCAAGTGTCAAAACAAGATTACAACACAAATCCCCTCAAAATACAAAACATCAGAGTCTAGAAGACATGCTTATGGCTAACTCTAGCCCCAAGAAGATGTTTAGCCACTCATTGATGTAGTCATCCAACCTTCAAGGGCCATCTCCATGGTAGAAATGCTCTTTTTCTTGATGGAAACCCTAGAAGAATGGAAGAACTCCCAAAAATAGTGTATGTCTCTCTAAGCTCTAGCCTCTTCTCAAAGATAGATGATATGAGATGTATTGAGATATGTAAGTTATAATGTAAAAATGGCTCAAAATCTTTATATAGGTGGCCCAAGTGTCACACCCAATGGTCAGGTCTCGTGCACTAGGGTCCTCTCAATGATTGCACCACGAGCCATCTTTTAATGAGCTGGACTCTGTTTTAATTCGGACTTGAGGAGGTTCAATCAATAGAATTCAGATGAGATCAATCGAACTATGGCCATATCGATCAATCCTTGGCGGCGCCTTTTTGGAATGCGACAAATCTCCAAGATATTTTGAGAAAAAGACCAAAGTGGTAGGTGAGGATAGAATCAAGAAAGTTCGATCGATCTGAAGAAAGTTGGATTAATCGAATATGGAATTTATTTGAGGATGAGGACAAGGGGTCTGATCCATCTTGGTCAGGTGAGATAGATCAATGTGAGATCGATCAAAATATTCCTGATCGACCAAAGTTTGCTGATTTCCACCACTTTGCTTCCATTCTTCCATTTAGCTTGCGATTGCTTCTTTTATGCTCTAATTTGGCTGAATTGACTTATTTTAGGAATAAGCACCTGAAAAGGGCAATAACATGAAATTAGTCTAAAACGGAAAAGTAAGATAAATAAAGGTCCTAGAATACTCGAGCTTAAGGGGTTTAAATGCGCACTTTTCAGCGCTCATCACACCCCCAAACTTAAATATTGCTAGTCCCTAGCAATGAACTACAAGATAAAGGAATGAAATGAACAACAATACAACTATGAATTAGAAAGCAATAAAAGGATAACGCCACTTTCGTAGGGAACACGATTGCATTTAGCACATACAAGAAGCCTTTTAAACCCCTAGGTTACCCCTAGTGGACGAGTGGAGTCTCGTGAGAGTTTCCAGAAATGATACCCACAAACATTAAGCTCATTCTCACAAAAGAGGCACCAATATTACAAACAAGCATTGGGAGAGAACTACCTCAAGTATGCAATTTTTCAACCATTTCCAAGCAATCTATTAAAATCTCAACATCAAGCAAGCAAGTATGGTCCTCCACACATCAAGAAAATGATTATGTAAATCGAAACAAATCTAGAATCCTTTTTGAGTGGACTGGCATCAAGTATGTTGCTATCTAAGCCAACTAAAGAAATGATCACATTCTTACCCTCAAACTAGCACACAAATTTAGTCCTGATCATCAAAACAATGAGTTGACCTTTTATTAAAACTTTATTCATCTAGGTGTGCTTATTCTTTTCACTCAATTTTATTTATTTTATTTATTTATTATTATTTTTTTCTAATCCTAAGGATCAAAGATGGAAGCATAGTGCAATGTGTTGATCTATTAAGCTTTCTAACAATCCATGAGGTCAAGCGTTAGGTTAATGACTCCCAAACCAGACGGCTTTAGGGCATTAGGCGTTTA